ATGACCAGTAGCTATTCTACTGGTCTCTACATATCCCCTTTCTGTTGACTATCAACAACAACAACGTCATGTGGTAGTTATTCTACTGATCTCTGCATATCCCCTTTCTGTTGACTATCAACAACAACAACGTCATGTGGTAGTTATTCTACTGGTCTCTACACATCCCCTTTCTGTTGACTATCAACAACAACGTTATGTGGTAGCTATTCTACTGGTCTCTACATATCCCTTTTCTGTTGACTATCAACAACAACAGCAACGTCATGTGGTAGTTATTCTACTGATCTCTACATATCCCCTTTCTGTTAACTATCAACAACAACAACGTCATGTGGTAGTTATTCTACTGGTCTCTACACATCCCCTTTCTGTTTACTATCAACAACAACAACGTTATGTGGTAGCTATTCTACTGGTCTCTACATATCCCCTTTCTATTGACTATCAACAACAACAACGTTATGTGTTAGCTATTCTACTGGTCTCTACATATCCCCTTCCTGTTAACTATCAACAACAACGTTATGTGGTAGCTATTCTACTGATCTCTACATATCCCCTTTCAATAAGTGATTCGCGACAGATACGTTTCGAAAGGAAATAAGAATTTGAGATTTAATTCTCATGAATTTTGGTGCCATCGATTAAACAAAATTCATTAGTGTTGAGTTTTTTTTATTTTGTTTGTTATCATCTTGTTTCACTTAGTTTTTGTTTTGTTTTTATTGTGTGTCTTAAAGTTTCCACTCTGATTACATACGTACAGCTAACTGTATTTGTAAAGTACGTTTCGTGATCTGTTTTAAAACACAAAACTAGTACAACTAAATGGTTTTGTGTTTTAAAACAGATCACGAAACGTACTTTACTAATATTTTTGTGTTTTAAAACAGATCACGAAACGTACTTTACTAATACATTTAGTTGTACTACTTAATCTGAAGTAATCTCGAAGAGAATCGATATTATTGAGGTGTAATATTAAACAGAGTTCATGTGAACTCCGTTTAGTTGTAAATCGTGTTTTATTCATTCTCTGTGATAGCATCACAAGTTTATCTACTTGGTAATTATACATGCATACGCCCTGAGGAGTCGAAGGACAGCGAAGTTAATTAGTTATTCATGGGACATGTGGAATAAGCTAAACCCTGCCCGAGGCGCTGTCTGCCCTTCACCTGTGAACCGCGGGAAAAACATAAGTTATGATTATAGTTTCAGAATATATCGCTTGGAGCTAGCAGGGAGCTTCTCAGAAGGGGTGCCCGATTCTAGTCGAGACAACTAGAGAGAGGTGTTGCACATTTTAACTAGTCTGCCTGCCTGCGGTTTTTTCCCATGCCATCTGCAGGTGGTGCTACTTATTAGTGCAATTACGCAAAACCAATGAAGGCGTGTCTATGTACAAGCTGCCGAACTACGCAAACTGTAGTTTCGTTTCTCTAAGACTATGGTTGTTCACGTACGTCTATATCGTTGTTTTTTGTTCTTTTCGTTTAAGTTTGCTAGACAATAGAAACCATTCTCCGAATACGTTTAAATTATTATTATTAATTTACAAACATAGATTGTTTACGTGAAAAATTAACTATAGAAACTTGAAGAGTGTCACACTGTCCTATGAAGTTAGAATATTTGGGTTATTGAAATTATTAGTGGAACTAATTATTATTAATTTTTCTTCTTTCTGTATATTTTCAGGTTTTTATCTTTACACTGTCACCTGTTCTCAAATTTCAGCTACTGCCCTAGATGATAAAACATATTACTAGCCCTTCTGTATCATGTAGATAGAGAGAATATGAAGTCGGTGTGTGTGCTCACAAGTTGTAAAGAAATTGATTTAAATATTCCAAGCCACCATAGTAGGTGCCATACGTGTACATGCACTCATTGTTGTATATTTTTATATAAATTTTATTAAAACTTCAGAAATTGGCGAGGTAACTGTTGAGTGAAAAAAACTACTGTTAAATCAAAATAAGGTTTAGAATTGTGTGCACCCGAAGAAACTTCTTCAAATCTAAGAGATATTAATTTGCATTTTGCCTCTCAGGTCTATGTCGTTATGTTTGTGTGCTTAGCCAGACTATTTATTAAGGATATAAATGTTTTTTTTTTACATTTTGGGATCCACGTTAATTAATGGAATTAGAGATTTTGAAATGAACGTTTGTGTTGTGTATAATTTGTAATAAAACTGTAATTGCAATATTAGCGAATCAAATTAAAACTGTTTTTGAGAAAAAAAGATTTAACTTGAAATTTATATTTTTCTTAACTAACAAGTGAATTGCCAGTGCCTGTGTATCTAATTAAATAGGTAATTTTTTACTAATTGTTCTTGTATCTTACAGAGTATTTTCTCAAATATTAAAATTGGTATGTTAAACTAAGTGATTATGATCTCAAGATTTATTATGAAACTATACAAAAACTGAGAAGTCTTGATGTTGTGTAGGTTATGAAAGTACTTGGGGACCATTTTTAAATCATCAAATACAGACGGAAGTAATTTTCAAATATTACGAATTTCTTTCTACATGAATTTTGTTTTTACAAAACTATTAATGATAGGGTTTTGAAAGCATAGAATGAGATACATTGTAATTTACCTGTCACGTTTAAGTTATTATAATAAACTATCTTAAACAAGTAGAATTACCTTTCATAGGCTGTCCTGCTGTACTCTTCACAATCAGAACTTTTGATAGTTAAATTTCTTTTTAAAAATCCCACAAAAATAACACGACTTAAATAATGTGTAAAAACTTGATTCTACGTGATAGAAACCTTTGACTTTTTGTAACATATTCTCCTTTGATTTGTGTTTTTAGGATTTTTTATTATACTTAACAAAAAAAGTAGTTAAACTGTATTGAAAAGAAGGATTCCTCGTTGGCTCAGAGGTAAGTCTGAGGGCTTATAATGTTATAAGTCTGGTTTCAATTCCTGTGGCGGGCAGAGCACAGATAATTTAATTGCGTAACTTTGTACGTAACAACAAATAAAGAAAAAAAATATGGTTTTTACTTTTAAAATATTTTTAAGGCATTGAAAGATTATTGTTAAGAATATATTCTATTTTTAGTATTGATTGTATAAAGTATGTCTACATGGTTGAAGGGGTTGTAAAAGTAGCTGTAAAATATAATATTTTTACCAAAGTTTCACTTCCTGGTGGTTTACCGGTAAGTCTAATCTGATGGCTTATATCGCTAAAAATTGAATTTCAATACTCGTGATGGGCACAGTGCAGATAGCCCATTGTGTAGCTTTGTGTTAGACAGACAAAAGTGTTATTTTACAAAATCCAC